CTGTTGCAATGCATCTCTGGGAAGGGGGGAGGGCTATCTATGCAACATTAGCTAAACTAAAGAAAAGGGAGGAGCAGAGACAAAACACTGAAAACATTTAAAGGCATATGACAGTCATGTGAACCATGACACTCCCTGTCGAAATCTATGATTTCTATAATAATAAACTTTAGTTTAAGTCCAATATAAATAATACAATTTCTTTCCAGGAACATCTGTAAAATAAGAGGGAAGGGAAGAACAAGGGAAAACAATGCAAAACATTAAACATAATACAGATGTTGGTCTCAAAAGTCCAGGCTGAGACATGGAAATCCAATTTCAGAGGAGAAGGCAGCAACATGCACGATTCCTTCTTACCTCCCTTTAAATCAGGTTGATGATTTGTCTTCCTCTTTAGGCAAAAGAAGTACTAGTTCCTTTATAGGCCTGAAGTAAAGGTGTGCAGAACCATGGTGGATATAGTCAAGATATGTACTGAAATGCAGTAGTAGGTACTTCACGACTGCCGCAGTCAGCAGGGTTGAGGCTTGTGGAAACATAGTGCCATTCTTCAGGCGTAGAGAAGACATGAATCTCTTTTCGGGTGGAATTCTTTAAGGATGCTTGGGTGTAAGAGCGTGGTATCTGGAGTTGTTCTAATGCTTTTAGAGACTGTTTCCAGGATTCCCACCTTTGTTGTTTCTCCTTGGGTAAGGGAGTATCCCAGTCTAAGCTTTCAGAAGTAAGTTTTCTCAGCAGTATCGTACCCTGAATGGTGAGAGGTGTAATGAAACCTAACGGATCATAAATGCTGTTCAGTGTAGACAATACTCCTCACTCTGTGAAGGGCTTGTCACAGGCTAATGCTTGAAATGTGAATATGTCTTGTTTAACATTCCAAAGCAATCCAAGACTGCGCTGTGTAACAGTAAGGTCAGATCCTAGTTGGAATTTCTTCACACTGACAGCATGGTCATCAGAAGGAAAGGCTATCATGACCTTGTCATTGTTAGAGATGATTTTGTGAAGTCTGAGGTTTGCAGTGGCAAGCATGTTCTGGGTTCTAGTAAGAAGGTCAATAGCTTCTTCTTCATTGGGCAGAGATTTGAGTTCGTCGTCTACATAGAAATTCCTTTCGTCGGACTGTCTTGCATCAGATCCAAATTCTTTCTCACCCTCTTGAGCTGTTTTACCCAGTCCATAAATTGCTACTGCAGGAGAAGGACTGTTACCGAAAACATGTACCTTCATTCGATAGTCTATGACTTCATCGTTGACATCATTATTTCGGTACCTTCGGAACCTGAGGAAGTTTCTGTAGTCTTCACGGATGATGAAACAATAGAACATCTGCTGAATGTCAGCCATAACAGCAATTGGCTCTTGTCTGAAGCAAAGTAAGACTCCTATGAGATTGTTGTTCAGATTAGGCCCAGTGAGAAGATTGTCATTGAGGGAGACGCCTTCATGACGAGCACTTGAGTCAAAGACCACCCTAATTTGATCAGGCTTGCGAGGATGGTAGACACCAAAGCATGGTAGATACCAGCATTCTTCTCCTTCCATAAGAGGAGGTGCAGGCTCAGCATGATCTCTCTCAAACACCTTCTGCATAAAGTCCACAAAGTGCTTTTTCATCTCAGGCTTCTGGTTCAAATTGTGATATAAAGAAACAAACTGTGAATCTGCATGTACCCTGTTGTTTGGTAGTCTCTTTCTTGGGGTACGAAATGGCAGAGGTGCTACCCAACTATTGGAATCATCTTGGTAGAACTCTTTACTCATGGTTTTCAAGAATTCTTTGTCTTCTATGGTAGCTGCCAACTCATTGTCTTTAGTGGTTACCTCAAACACTGTGTTGCCGATGTTGTCATCCCAGAGATTAAGAGCTTTCTTATTGTCTTGTAAGATGTGCTGTTGTGCACCTTTTTTTAAACAGTCTTTCTTTCACAATATATTTATGTGGTCGTTGTGTGGAACAAGTTGTTCATCCATTTGACAGGACATGTGTTTTAAAGAAAGCGACTGAGTAGGACCTCCTGTCCTTGTCCAGGCAGACATTGCCTATGATGACCCATCCTAGATCCAGACGCTGAGCATATGGTGCATTGTGTGGATCATTGATTTGATGGCTATGTGCTTTAAGTGAGAATGGTGAAAAGCAGCTTCAGGAGTAGGGATCTCCTCTTTGATGCTTGGAATCTGGTTGCACTCAGTGATAGTGGGCAAAGATATTTCCACATTGCCATTCAGAGGAGCAACTACAAGACCACTGGCTCTCCTGCCTGAGACTTCTGTAGTGCCGGAACAAGTGTTTAGAGTATAAAGCAGAGCATCTCCAGTTATGTTCAACAGTTCAAAAAACCGTGTTCTTGCAAGAGATTTGTTACTCTGTTACTCTGATCATCCAGAATAGTATACAGTCTTATGGCCTTTTCAGGTTGACTTTTGGGGTATAGACGGACCAAGCATATCTTTGCACAAGATTTGTTGCAGAATCCTTCTCCACAGACCTCTGTACATGTAGAGAACACTGGGGTGGTAGGTGCTGCTTGATCTGGGCGCTCCCTGCCTTGCTTTGTCTCAGGAAGATTGTTTTGTGAGCGTAGTAGAGTTGTGTGAATATTGATGAAGAGCTTGCACATGGTCATCACTAGAGATGAGCGAATTATTCAAAAATTCGATTCGGCTGATTCGCCGAATTTGCGGGAGAAATTCGATTCGATGCGAATTTATTCGCCGCAAATTTAACTTATTTAAAGGGTTTCTAGGCTTCAGAGAGCCTTTATATTAGTGCAGAACACAGTACCTTTAATTTAAATGCCCTTGGAGTCTGCTGGGGAAGAGAAATAATACTGTCAGTCAGTATGACATGCAGATGAGTGCCGTCGATCTTAGAATCACCGCACACTTCACTCATTTGGGCAGTCACGGGGCACGACGAAGAAGAAGAAGAAGAATGAAAAGAATAATGAAAAGAAGAAGAAGAAGAAGAATGAAAAGAAGAAGAAGAAGAATGAAAAGAAGAAGAATGAAAAGAAGAAGAAGAATCAAAAGAAGAAGAAGAAGAAGAATGAAAAGAAGAAGAAGAAGAAGAATGAAAAGAAGAAGAAGAAGAATGAAAAGAAGAATGAAAAGAAGAAGAAGAAGAATGAAAAAAGAAGAAGAAGAATGAAAAGAAGAATGAAAAGAAGAAGAAGAAGAATGAAAAGAAGAAGAAGAATGAAAAGAAGAAGAAGAAGAATGAAAAGAAGAATGAAAAGAAGAAGAAGAATGAAAAGAAGAAGAAGAATGAAAAGAAGAATGAAAAAGAAGAAGAAGAAGAATGAAAAAGAAGAAGAAGAAGAATGAAAAGAAGAAGAAGAAGAAGAATGAAAAAAGAAGAAGAATGAAAAGAAGAAGTATTCCAGTACAGCAAAAAGTGTATCTGCAGAGAGCTCCGCTATTTCTGACAGTTCTCTGACAGTTCCTTCACATTTACAGCGGTTGAAACATTGTATCTATTTATTTCCGAATAAAAAACATCTGTATCCTAAATGGAAACAAATAGATACAATGTTTCAACCGCTGTAAATGAACTGTCAGAACTGTCAGAAATAGCGGAGCTCTCTGCAGTGACACTTTTGCCGTGCTGATCGGGAAAAATTCGATTTGTGCACCCGAAGTTGGCTAAAATTCGGATTCGATGCGAATCGAATTTTTCCCGATATTCGAAACGAATTCCACTTCGCCTGGTTCGATTCGCTCATCTCTAGTCATCACTGTCACACTCTATACATTATCTCTTTACAGTCCTTTGCAAAGTGTTCTGTGGAAGCACAGCATTTGTAGCAAACCCCAAATTGCTTCAAAAGTTCCTTACGTTCTTGGAGGGTTTTCTTTCTGAAGCTGATACATTTCTTAAGTGGATGTGGTTTGTTATGTATTGGACATAGGTGATTTGGGTCCTCAATTTTCTTGTTTTGATCAGTCTTTTCAAGAGCTGTAGCAGGTGCAGGTAGAACATTAGTCCTTTTCACTAACGCTGGACCTCTATGGTCTCTGTGCGACATACGTGTGCTTAGAGAGAGTGTACTGAGAGAGTTACAGTCCCCATATGAGAAACGTGGGTCATTCTTAGTGTCTGCAATTCTTTTGATGAAATCGCAGAAGTAGGAAAAAGGAGGAAAGGCAACTCTATGTTCTTCTTTATACTTTTATCCAAGTGCTGCCCATCTTTCTTGTATTCCATATGGTAGCTTGAGAACAATAGATTTGATGCCATGAGAGGTGTCAAGGTAATTAAGACCAGGTAAGTTGATGTCAGCCTTAGCAAGTTGAAGCTCTAATAGAACATTGCTGAGTTCTTGAAACTTTAGATTGTTGTTAGTAGAAATCCTTGGGAATCTTTGCAACCTTTTGAATAAAGCATCTTTAACCTCCCTGGCGGTATGATTATTTCAGATTTTTGGTGCTGAAAGCGGTACCATTATTTTGCATGGAAAATATGTAGTTTTTTTTATTGTAGGCTGTAATTTTTAGGAATAACTCACTGAAATCTGTCCGAACAAGAGTCTATTATTAAACATCCCGGGTATGATAAAATTTGAAACACGACGAAATCATAAATTATAATTTAATAAATAATCATAAAAAATAATAATATAATAATAATACATTTAATTCAATAATATAATCAAACCGAAAACACTGAAATTTGAAATAGAGCGCCAAGTTCGTACATTGCTGAGCAAAGTCGCAAAATCATTTTCAGTGTCTGATGATGAATTTCCCCCACGAATCATTATCACTCAATTCTGCAAGTGGTTCTGATTTACTATCGCTGTTCTCTAGCTGGTCTAAAACCGCTTTTGACCTAAAGGGACATTTTTTGGACGCCATGGATTTTTCTAAGTTTCCAGGCAGAAAGACAGACAAAATGTAGGCAGGGCACAGGACAAAGCACTAGGGACAATATGTATGTGAAATGGGTTGAAACAGCAACGTTTTACTGTGAAAAATGTGTTTTGAAAAAAAGACATTTTTTAAAATTTTCAAATTTCCCGCCGCCGCCGCCGCCGCCCGTACGTCCCGACGTCACGGGGACCGGAACACAGAAGCCGGATGCCGGCATCAGCCGGAGGAGATGGCCGGGGACGCTTCAGGGGACACATCGTGGGAGCGAAGGACAAGGTAAGTGCTGCAGGGACTCCCTATTCAGCGCCGCATGGTAAGCCCGAGTGTAGCTCGGGGTTACCGCTTTTTTTGGTACTAAAACTCTACCCCGAGCTACACTCGGGAATACCGCCAGGGAGGTTAATGGCCTCTGGGCTGCCAAAGGTATGTTCATGTCTGCCCCAAGCAGCATTAAGGCCTGCAGCATGGTTGCCAATATGAACTGCTTTGAGTCTCTTGATGAGTACAGTAGACTGGGGACCTAGCCATTTGATGAGTAGATCTAATTCCTCTGTGGCATTGATGTCTAGGTCACTCATTGTGGCCTTAAAAGTGGATTTCCAGCCTCTGTAATTTTCAGGCTTGTCATCAAACTTGGTGAGGCCTGTCTTAACAAGCTCACTGCGGAGCATGTATTTAGCAAACTGTGACATGTCCGTGTTTTCATATTTTGGGTGCATGACTGCAGGTGGAACAGAGTTGGTTGTGACGTTTGGTGGACTTACGTGGAGTGACTTGGGAACATATGTTGCTGCTAAGGCATTCAATGTTGGAGTTGGCTTAACCTCCCTGATGGTATTCCCGAGTGTAGCTCGGGGTAAAGTTTCAGTACCACAAGTGGTAAACCCGAGCTACACTCGGGCTTACCATGCAGTGCTGCTCCAGGATCCCTCGATCACTTACCTTGTCCTGCGCTCCCGCGATGTCCCTCCTTTAGTGTCCCCGGCAATGTAATCCGGCGTTCCGTCCCCTGCGAGCGTCGGGACGTACGGGGGACGGAACGGCGGGAAATTTGAAAATGACAAAAAAGTGACATTCACTGAAATCACTAAAATCACATAGTAAAACATTACTGTATCAAACCATTTCACATACATTTTGTCCCTAGTGCTTTGTCCTGTGCCCTGCCTGCATTTTGACTGTTCTTTCTGCCTGGAAACTGAGAAATGTCCATGGTGTCCAAAAAGTGTCCCTTTAGGTCAAAAGCGGTTTTAGACCAGCTAGAGAACAGAGATAGCAAATCAGAACCACTTGCAGAATTGAGTGATAATGATTCGTGGGGAAATTCGTCATCAGACACTGAAAACGATTTTGCGACTTTGCTCAGTGATGTGCGAACTTGGCGCTATATTTCAAATTTCAGTGTTTTTGGTTTGATTATATTATTGAATTAAATGTATTATTATTATATTATTATTTTTTATGATTATTTATTAAATTATAATTTATGATTTCGTGTTTCAAGTTTTATCCTACCCGGGATGTTTACTAGACTCTTGTTCGGACAGATTTCAGTGAATTAGTCCTAAAAATTACAGGCCTACAATAAAAAAAAAAACATACAGTATTTCCATGTAAAAAAATTTACCGCTTTGAGCACAGAAATATGGACATAATCATACTGCTAGGGAGGTTAAAGTCCATTGGCATGTTGGTTTGTACAGTAGTGCGTTTTCTAGGAAGTACTCTGTTGGTGCCAAAGTATAATGGATGGTCTGTTAAATACACACCAGTGTCTGCGGCTAGCTGAGATGCTGCGGTCTGATGTATTGGAGGATATAAGGGCAAATGGTCTTGAGATACAGTAGGTGCAGAGAAGAGACTTTGATGGAGTAGTGTGGCTGCTGTGACAGAAAGTTGACGTTCTGGAGAGATGTGTGAAGAATCTTAGACATAAAATACAACTGAGTGTCTGGAACTGTTGTCTCTTTCGTTTTCACTAGCAGCTTGTTTCTAAGACCCTTAACCTTGCCATGGCTGTGGCATTGTTTTTCCAAAACTTCAATTTCTGCCTTTTGGCGTGTGGCTTCAGCTTCTTTCTCTGCTTTCTGATGTGCGGCCTGAGCCTCCATTTCTGCTTTCTTATATGCAGCCTGAGCCTCTATTTCTGCAGCCTGAGCCTCTCTTTCTACTTTCTGATGTGCGGCCTGAGCCTCCATTTGTGCTTTTTGATGTGCGGCCTGAGCCTCTATTTCTGCAGCCTGAGCCTCTCTTTCTGCTTTCTGATGTGCGGCCTGAGCCTCCATTTGTGCGGTCTGAGCCTCCATTTCTGCTTTCCTTTGGGCGAAAGCTGCCTGAATTTTAGAAGCTTCAGCGTCAGCACAGGCTTTTATTAGTTGTTGACTGAGTGTAGAAGATCTTGATTGTATGGATTTGGAAGATCTTGAGGAGCGTCTAGTAGACGCAGAGCGATAAGATCTGGATTCATGAAGCTGTGCTATTCTCACCTCTGCCTTTGTCTTTGTTCGCACTAATAAATTGTCTCTTTCAAGATTGAGCTCCTCAAAACTCCTTAATTCTTCCAATGACTCTTGAGTGTGGTACCGCTTTAACAGAGCAATATATTTAACACACAGTCTTTGATAATTCTCATAAGCAACATTCAATTGCTGAATAGCACCCTCTAGTTCTAATGGCTCATGAGATTGTTGGGAGAGAGCAGACATGCATTTAACCGTGTTAGTCCATAAGTCATTAATATTAGACAGCAATTCTTCTTTATCAGCATTAAGATTTTCTTGTACTTTCCAGCTTAGTTTTGTTAAGCGTTTTTCTCTTTTATCTAATTCAGGGTTTAAGTCCTGCTCTGGATGAAGCTCTGATTGTGGTTGTGTATTAGTTTCCCCAGACTGTATACTACTTCCCTGAAACATCATGTTAGCAAGGAGAGGGGTTGATAGAAAGCTTACAGAGAAATGTATAACTTCTTCTGTGACTGAGTTCAGGTTTTAATGCAATAATTGCAGGAAGATTTTCTTTTTCTTTCTTATAAGTTCACAGACAACAGTTGTGTTGTAATGTGTACACATGCAGTGTATAAACTTGCAGTTGTAAAACATTCACATCAATAATTTGTCCTGACACTGATTAGTGTTATGCTGGGATATACTTGGAGGCATATACAGACTTGTGTAGAGGTGGCTGCACTCTCTATAGCTGTAAAATCAAGTATCCATGTAAAATCTTACTGTGTATACTAGTTAGCAAGGATTCTTATGAAGCATTCCACTATTCTTTCGACTATTCTGTTGGCTCCAATCTAAGCATTGATAGTGTGATCTCTGTAACTCACGGCTGTGATGAGATAGCAAAAATTTCAACCTCTGATGGATACCACAGTCAGTGACTCAATGAGAATGGCATCTTGTAGATCTTGAGAAGTTTATTCCATAAACTGAGAGAATCTTACAACAATGAACATTCCATAGATCGAAAGAACATACTGTTTTTTCTTCTTGCCATGAGGCTGTTGCAATGCATCTCTGGGAAGAGGGGAGGGCTATCTATGCAACATTATCTAAACTAAAGGAAAGATAGGAGCAGAGACAAAACACTGAAAACATTTAAAGGCATATGACAGTCAATATGACAGTCATGTGAAACATGACAGGCAGCATAACATTCTCCACGGCTTCTCCAGACCCTTTCACATCTGTCACATGTGCTCAGGATAAACCTGCTCTCATCTGTGAAAAGCACAGGGCGCCAGTGGCAGACCTGCCAATTCTGGTGTTCAGTGGCAAATGCAAATCGAGCTCTATGGTGCCTGACAGTGAGCACAGGGCCCACTAGAGGATATAAGGCCCTCAGGCTACCCTCTGGAAGTCTGTTTCTGATTGTTTGGTCAGAGACATTCACACCAGTGGCCTGCTGGAGGTCATTTTGTAGGGCTCAAGCAGTGCTCATCCTGTTCCTCTTTGCACAAAGGAGCAGATACCAGTCCTGCTGATGGGTTAAGGACCTTTTATAGCCCTGTCCAGCTCTCCTAGAGAAACTGCCTGTCTCCTGGAATCTCCTCCATGCTCTTGAGAGTGTGCTGGGAGACACAGCAAACCTGGCAATGGCTTGTATTGATGTGCCAAGCTGGAGAAGCTGGTCTGCCTGTGCAACCTCTGTAGGGTCCAGGTATTGCCTCATGCTACCAGTAGTGACACTGACCCTAGCCAAATGAAAAACTAGTGAAAAGATGAGTAGGGAAAAAATGTCAGTGTCCTCCCCCTGTAAAACCATTCCTGTTTTTGGTTTTGTCTCATTGTTGCCCATCCAGTGCACCTGTTGTTAATTTCATTAACACCAGAGCAGCTGAAACTGATTAACAACCCCCTCTGCTACCTAACTGACCAGATCAATATCCCAGGAACTTAATTGTCGTGATGCTATACTGCTTAAAAAGTGTTCCTTTAATTGTTTTTGAGCAGTGTATATTAAAAAATATATAAAAACAGCAGAATAAAAATAGCTAAAATAAAGAACCAATAGTTTTTCCTTTAGAAATAATTCTAACAAACTATATTCTGATAAACCTGACAAGCCTCTCTTTCTTTTTCCATAGATACCAATAGAAAAATACTAGAACATACTTGTTTTATCTATAGGAAAAAACTGTGGACAAACTGAAAAAGATATTACCTTTAAAAAGATGAGATGAAAGTACATGAGGAATTTCATTGACCTTAGGAAAGGAAGCTTCCTTAGTTACCTATAGTGATGTGCTTGTTACTAAGATCAACAATGCCTGTTCATTTACTTGCAGAGCTTGATATCCCAGGAGCATAGCTAAACATTAATGCTGGACACAGTGGAAACTTGTATATCGAAAGGTAGACAGTATGGTTCCCATAGGAAGTTTTCAAACCTTACAGTGCTATGAATAGGTTCATGTTACTCTGTATAGGCCTGAGATGGTAATCCAATTAATATTGCACAAAGTTCTTTTTTATCCATATCTTTTTTTCCTCTTTAATTGTCTACACAGAGACTGAGATCCCTGAGGTGAGTGCACACCGGCAGAAATTAGAGAAAAACAGCTGCAAAATGTCTAATGTATTGACCAGTTTTTGCAATGTTAGAACGAGTGATTTCAGCTACAAAGTCAGGCAATAAAACTAATAAATATTACTTTTTGACAGGCACCTGCTATGGCTTTTAGCAGCTCACATTTATTCATTGTTCTGATTCATTTGTTGATCTTCTAGTATCTAACTGCCTCTATAAATATAAGTGTTTAATTGTATAACCAAAGGTGCCCAGATATGTCATATGATCTTACCTGATTGACATTAGGTGATTGTTTTCTATCATGATGTAATGGATAATAGGTAAATATAAAGTTCAGCAGACTGATGGAAGAAAGGCTATGGCAAGATTGGATATTTTGTCCAAAGCCCTAATACTCCCTCAAGATAACAACGATAGGAGATTATTCTTTATAAATCAGATTCTATTTACTCCTTAATCCCCTTCATACAGAAACCAGTGGTTCTGTTATGCCTGCTTGCATTCGGCATTTCAATGTCCAAGCCCGGTCATCACTGTGTTCCGAAACCCCAAAACATGATTTCAAACATTTTGCATATGAGGGAACTAAATGGAGTAACTGGAATGTCATACATCATGCATCCCAGTCATATAATTGCCTTATTTAAAATCAATAATGCCAAACTAACCCCAGTGAGTTGGGGTGGGGGACCAAAATTTACACCATCAGTTCAATTCTATCAACAAATAATGTGTTTGTTGAATGGATCATTGGGGCCAGATTCAGTAGAATATCAATAGAATGGACACTAAGAGATCACCTCTTGACTGGTTCCAAGAAATTTAACAAATTTAGCCAATCACATCTGACAAATTGTATACTACTGAGTTATATATAGGTTAAACAGGACCTATACTTCCTGCCTTCACCTTTCCTTTATGTTGCA